CCAGATGCATGCTTGTCGGTACTATACAAACACCCGCAATTTGGTAAGCAGATGATTAGTGCGCCTGAAATATTAATGAGATGTGGTTTGCGACACCAAAAAGTTAGTAATCGGTATAAATTTGGCAATTGTTTCACTAGTCATCTGAAGCCCTGGTGATTATTGTGCACGTGCAATATAATATCAGTATGATATCACTCAGCCCTACATCACTGGGAGTGTATATTCTAAATAGACATCAGTTTTTTTTAAATGGGTATTTTTTTACACATTATTGGAATTGAAGTTTTTGTTGCTTTTGGGATGCATATCTTTCAGTGTCGGGATAACTACAGTTTAAGGTTCGATCGTGGTATTGGTGCTTAACTGGTTTTTAATTTCATACAGTATGTTTCCACTCTAGAGTATTCAATTAATTCTGTAATTTGCAGTTAATATAGATAGCTATGGTACTTGTCAATTTTGTCACTTGATTTTACTTTTTTTTTTTTTTTTAGAATGAGTAAAACAAAGGAACTCTAAATGTTGGTCATTACACCGTTGCAATATGAAATTATTAATCTTTGTCACTCGTATGTTCATAGTAATTTTCCTATATTAGTCGCTATTGCGTGATCTTTCCTTGTATCCAATGCAATAGACAACATTCAGGCAATGTATTATGTGCTAATGGGGGCTGAGGAAGAGTAGCACGTTTCATTGTGTACATATACTTTCACACAATCCCCCTCTCACCCAAGGCATTACTCTTCAGTACCATTTATCTGGTAAAATGCGGTTGGCAGCTGATTATTTACCAAGGCAAAGAACTTGAGTTTCTGGGCTAAATGTAGTTTCCACTGTTTTCAAGGCATGGTTGGAATAAGTGTTAAAGATTTTTGGATAGAAGAAATATATTAAATCAGGAAACTGTATATGGAATAGTACATGTGCCATGTGTTTTTGACTCATTTTTGTAGTAATGTCTCATGTTTCAGATATTGCCTGTATTGCAGATGCTATATGAATGTCATCCTAAAGTACAACATTCATCTAATTGGTGTGGATTTAAGGTGTTTATAGTCAGTATTTATTTTTGTCTCTTAATTTTTAGAATTTTTTTGCTTAAAATAGTTTGGAGGTGCAAACACATCCAAGTTGTAAATTTGTACACAGCAAACCCAGGTGAAATTTTATATATTTTTTTGGGCCCAGCTTAGGCAAGTTGCAGTCATTGTTGCCATTGTGTACTTCAGCGTAACAAATATTGATGCTGTCCCTTTTCAGCTTACCTGTAATTTATAGCTTCTGATCTTGTTTGAGACAAATGTACACTTAGAGCCATAAACAACATGACCTGTATAGTTTAGAGTACATTAAGCAGACAAACATGTGAATGTGAAACATGAGTAAACTGCTGAGTAATAAATGCTCAAGTGAAGGACCATGCAAAAGTCAAACCCAGAATTTTTTTGTCATAATTTAGCATTCGCAGAATGCCATGAGAACTCCCCATGAGAGCAGTTTGACAAATTAAAAATCATGTTCATAAGTATATTCCATATGGAATTGTGGGAATTATGCAATAATCGTAAAGCTTCCTGTTGACGTGCAAATAAGTAGGTTTACCCATATGTTTGGTGTCATTGAGATATTCAGCTGTCTAGCAAACTGGCTGCGAGTTTCCATTACCTCTTGCGAAAAAGACCAAACCTAATCTGGAATGTAACAAGATAAGTAAACTTGAAGTTCAGTTGTTCATAAAACTTGTGGCTTGCATTTTGATTTCTGCCATCCGAATGGTATGTTAGTACTAGTACTTGGTGCAATTCAAAGCATGTGGTTAAGCACTGGATAGGTATGTCTTTGTGAAATCATACATTAGATGCTCAGTTAAAGAATGAAAATGCAACAAAATTCATGTACAAGCTTCTGAAATATGTGTGGGTGGGGAGTAGGGCTGCCACTAACTGTAATTGTAAGAATTAATCTGTCAACTATTTTACTGATTCATCGATTAATCTAAATGATCAGTTTTCTTCTTGAAAATAAAATTGACCAGCTGTTGATTTTATTTTGACAAAATAATTCGGATGGCAGAAATCAAAAGCCGGATTCCGGCTTTTTGGGAGTATACGTACCTTAAGCTCACAATTCGATAAGAAGATTAGTAGTATGCCTAAAATAATAATGAGAGGTGTTTTGTGATGCCCACAAATTGAAATCTGTATAAATCGAGTGTACCCTTATGCTTATTAAATTCGGCTAGCAGTGCGTGCCACATGCGACTTTCGGTAAATCATGGAAGTGATAAGCACGAAAGTCAAGAAAGCAATCACATTAAAAAAAAAAAAAAAAAACTTTTAAAATGGGATATTGTGGTTAAACAAGGTAAAAAGATGGTGGGTGGCAGTACTTTTTGCAGTTTAAAGTACATTTTTTGGTAAATATAGGTTTCATTTTTATTTCTGTTAATGATTTATCTTTTTTTAAATTTAGTGTCTTTTCATTTCCGTTTTAATTTGATAACACTGGTTCCAACAAGACCAACACTTACAAATACACTGGCACTGTCAATCAATGTGGAATAAGCCCTTAACATTGTCGTCTTCAAATTTTCTAAAACTTTCGTTCTAAGGAGATTTAAGATAGCAGGCAGACAACATTATATCTTTAAAAAGTGTACTTAGTAACTATAAGGACAAAAGATGTTTAAAAACCTCCCCGTACTAATAATAATTTAATAAACATGAAACGACAACATTTAAGGTGGTTTTGCTTCTTCTGGTAGTCCAACATCCAGTATAGTGCCTGTGTGTGTTCTTGTCAGGTGCTTGTGCATAGCGCTAGTGCCGCCGTAGTGTGTCATCGAAACTTTGCATAGTGTACAAACCACCTTTTTGTTTAGTGATAATTCGAAGTGCTATTGAAGGAAAACTTTCATTGTAATGAAGCATTTCAGACATCAAAAGGGTTAATTTTATTACATTTTTTTAAAAAACGAACGCGCGATTTTCAAAATACTGATGTCGACCCATTTTCAGCCTTGATGTCATCAGCTACGTTGACTAATCGCGGCAGCCCTAGTGGGGAACATTTTCAACATCAGCTATTATATATTTTATAGCAGCAATTCTCAGGCTGTGTTGCAACCCAAATTTGGGTAGTGGCAAGTTCTGAAAGGGTCGCGAGACACAGTTGGAAATGTAAGCATTTAAAAACTAGCAAGCCTCTATGCTGATCCACGATCAGATTTCCCAGCCTCAATTCTAGAATTAACCTATATTAACGGGTCTACGGTCTGCAAATGCTTTGCACAACACTACTGAACACTCAACCAATCCAAGAAGTCAAACCACACATGCTTAATTTAAAATTTAGTGGCACATCGAATTAGATTTGTGCGATAGGCATTGATTGGTACAAATTGCAGAGTAAACTGTATGCTTGATCATGGTGTTAATTTAAACCAGGGGTGCCTAATCTTATCCGCAAAGGGCCGGTGTGTATGCAGGTTTTTGGGATAACCTTTAGGTCAGCTGTTCAAACCCAGGTGTGAGGACTCTTCAGCCAATCAGTCCTCTAATTAGTAATCTAATTAGGGAGTTGCAGCGAAAACCCGCATACACAGCGGCCCTTTGCGGTTAAGATTGGCCACCCCTGATTTAAACCTATACTTGATATAGCGCTATGACTGGTAAAAATTGGGTCATGGTGCAAGAGAGTTTGAGAACCACTTTTCTACAGACTTCTGGTCTTTTACCAGAGTATGGCCTGCTACTGCTGTTTTAATTTATGACACTTGAATATTCTTTGTGGTTTGTTGTATAGTTAGCCAATTTCTGCAAATTGCAGAGTACAGGACTCTGTATACATTAGAACCTTTTTATTGACTTACTATTTTTGGCAGAAGTAATAATCAAAATTCCAGGGATAAATCTGGGTGCCAGTCCAGTGTTGAGCTGGTATGGCAGATGCCCCCCCCCCAGGCTGGAATACACATACAGCGGTTGAGTCACTCCTTACTTGCTTTTGCATACCTGTTTTACGCTGGTAGGTTTATCAGGCTAATTTTGTAGCATTAATTTCAAATATTGGATAGTTACTAGGGATGAGTTGGCATTGTTCATTCGAGAATGTGTGTAAAATTATTTTTTTTTAAAAATCTTAAAATTGGATGATATATGAGATGTTTTATTTTGCAGAAATATAACTTGTATTCACTGTTTGTGGTGAGTAGCTTAGCGGGCTAAGTTTCTGCCTGTGATCAGATGATTGCCGGTGTGAGCCCCAGCCTCACGTGTATGTGGGCCCTTGAGCATGGCCCTTAACCCCCCAGCTGCAGGGGTGCTGCATGTTAGCTGGTCCTGCACTGTAACCCTTAAGCTATGGAGAGCAAGGGGGGGTCAGCGAAAAGTAGTATTCTAATGTACCTGTACTTGTGTAAATGGCAAATAAAGCCTGCTTCTTTTATTGTCTTAAGTTTGGTTTATTCGTTCAGAAGTTTTTGCATGAGCTCTGTATGTGCTCTTCAAGCCAGTCATCATTTTCACCCTTTCAATTATCATCCGTTTGGAGTAGCCTAGCCTATAAAGCCAGATATGTATTGTTAGTATTGTATAATTTCAAATAATCGCTATTTGCTGTAAATGACCAAGGTTAATCAAATATTCCAGTAGTAACTGGTGAAATTTGACTAGTCATTTCTATCTGAAATGCCCATCCCTAGTAGTGAATAAAATGTTATGGTTTTTTTTTTTTGAAGAAGAAAGTATTTATACATATCTTTGTTGTGATTTTTTTTATCAGGGTTTTACAATATTACTAATTAGACCTTGACAGTCAAGCGGTGGTATCATTATATATGATGTATTTTTACTAGCCGTGTATAAGGGACTTGTTAGCATTGCTTTTGGTGCTGCTAGATCACTTTTTGTTCCACAGGAAATGTATTAAATGATGTGTGTGTCTGTTCTGCACTGGACTGACCGATCTCATGTCTTACTCTCCCTATTTTGCAGGTGGACTTCAACACTGGGAATCTGCTTAAGTGAGGTCTGGTAGTGCTGTAGCAGCACAGAATGGTTTGTGGGAGTTCCTGGGACGCAGACCGTCCTGTGCTGCCTCAGTAATGCCTGGACAGACATTGCAAAAAGGCAAAACACATGTAAAGCAGTGTGGGAGAACTAGAAAAGCAGACTGAGCACAGGTCTTCATCCTGCGTCTGGCCGCCATGCTGTAGCAGCACGTAAATATTGGAGTTCAAACCCTGCTGATGCCTCCAGTATTGCTCGTGCTGCTGGAGTAAAAGCTAGCCACTGCCATCTGTTGGCCATTCCTCATCAAGTGAATTCAAAAAGGGCAGTCATGCAGTCCTTACACACCAATTACTAAAAGAGAAGTCTTGAGTTCATTGTCTAATGGTAATTGTGTGGTAAATAGCAGTTTGTGTCTTTTAGAACAGAGGTAATTGTCTTTTGGGTGCCCATTACTTGGCTGCCCAGTGAACGAAGTGAAACTCTCACAAGGCAGAAACAAACCTTTTTAATGTGAATGTCATTGTATTTTTACTTTCAAATAAATCCCCACTTTATAATTCAAAGATATGATTTTTCTTGTACTCTTAACGTGTAACATTTAAACCATGCAGATATTTTAATACATTTAAAATAGTCATTAACTGCTAACCCTTTTACATTGACACTTCACTGAAAGGTTTAGTAGATTAGTTCTTAGTTTATACAATAAGTATCCACTTTTGTATATACAAAAACACGCATCAGACTTTCGTTTCTTACTGTGGTAATTATCGCTACTTCCATTCTGATATGGTACACAAATATTTTAAATCATTATGGCATAATTATGAAATGTGTGTCCTGCGATTTCCGACCCTGCCCACCCCAGACAAATAAAATTTGGCTATCCATTTCTGCAGGATCAACGACTGATAAAGCTAATGTAAGCAAGAGGTTTAAACCTTTCACTGGGAGAGGCCTGGTACCTGCCAAGTTAATCCTCTTTAACCGAGGCGCCAATAAACCATCTGCAACAAGGTTTACCGTTGAGATTAAGAGATCGAGCCTGGCGCGAATATCAGTAGTGTCTTCTGGATCTGCCAGCAACCTTTGGTAGTGCACCCAGTACCAGGTACCTAATAAAAAGGTTACAGCAGTTAGCAGCTACAGTGCTTCTTGAGGTGGTACTCTGATGGATTCAAAACACCTGCACTGTGACCCTAACTAGGATAAGCTGATAAAAGAAGGATGCATAAAACCCTACAATATGGGCATGGCTCAAGTGTAGTTTCAAAAGTTGCTAGTGGAAGATTGATTCTCCATACTGTTTACCAAGTGCAGGGTCACTAAGCCTAAAGCCCGTCTAATAAATTCTGTGCATGTAAGAACAGCCTAGAAAATGTGAGCCTCATAATGGACTGACATCATACAATTACCAAATTTGAGCCTGCATGTTTCTGGACTGCCACAGGAAACCCACGCAAAAGCATATAATTACGTTATGCAGAGTTGGGGGTGGACACTGAAGCCTCACACTGGGCTGGGGAGTGGGCACTGAAGCCTCACACTAGGCTGGGGAGTGGGCACTGAAGCCTCACACTGGGCTGGGGAGTGGNGGCTGGGGAGTGGGCACTGAAGCCTCACACTGGGCTGGGGAGTGGGCACTGAAGCCTCACACTAGGCTGGGGAGTGGGCACTGAAGCCTCACACTAGGCTGGGGAGTGGGCACTGAAGCCTCACACTAGGCTGGGGAGTGGGCACTGAAGCATCACGCCGGGCTGGGGAGTGGGCACAAGCATCACGCCAAGCTGGGGGCGGGCACTGAAGCATCACGCCAAGCTGGGGGCGGGCACTGAAGCATCACACGGGCTGGGGAGTGGGCACTGAAGCCTCGCATGGAGATGGGGGTGGGCACTGAAGCTTCACGTCAAGCTGAGGGTGGGCACTGAAGTTTCACACCGCCAAGGTTGTGAAATGTGTTGTTATGCATCCATTATCCAATAGCAGCCTGTGCTGGACGTCACTACATTACTGTTAAGTACTGGTTGTGAACTATACTTGAAATAAGACAATATTTTCTGCCACTTTTAAAATGTTGGACAAATTACAGAGCCCCCAAACCACGTGATTGTCACAGTTTACCATCAGCAATGGACCTGAGCAGCTTCTCCCAGTCTGGTGAACGAAAACCCAAGTTAATATGGGCACAATATGCAAACTTGCACAATTAATGGAAAGGGGTGTTTTCTCACAGGTTGCACACAAATTGCAAAATGCCTACCTGCAGAACTGTGGTCCCTATAGCTACATTTCAGTCATCAAAACCCTTTAGATGTTCCTTTAAAAAAACAAAAATGTGAGGAAAAGTAACCAAAAAAACCATTGGACGTTTTCACCATTTATCACATATAAACTTCAGTACCACCGGCAGAAACAAATTCACCATATCAGAAGGGGTTGTATACTTAAACAATACATACTCTAGGTTGATTTACAGAATTTATCGCCAGCCTCAGCCTTGAGTTCAAGACCTTTGACAAACCAGCATTGATCTCTATCCTCCTGAGCCACCCAGACCTCTGACTGTTTTACAGAAATACCAGAACTGTACAAACAGATTAAAAACCAGCTGTTTGTTTAAATACATGGACCAGCTAATTCACAATGTATACTGCACCTCATTAGTATCGGTTACTCTCATAAGCTCAGTACAGTTACTACAAAATCTTTCACTTTGGAGTATTATTGTGTAAGATTCTTTCGATATAATGATTCCAATTTTGAAAGTGGGGCTATAGTGTATCGGGATTTTCTACACTCAGAAGTTACAACAGCAGAGAAATCCCGACACAACTGAGAAACAATTAATTCTAAGGAAATTCCCTTACAATTCTATATTATTCATAAAAGAATCAATGATATATGTAATTCGCTACTTTTAGTCATTTCAAATGTAAACATACAGTGGACATGCAAATCTAAAGTAATTTATAATAACACATAAAATCCACTGTCATATCCAAGAAATCAAATGCAAGTTTTTGCAGCAATTCAAACAGAACCAAAAATACGGCGGCTGCTTCGCTGCAGCGTTGGGTCACGTAACTGGCCAGGTCATTTGCAGCAGGTAAGTACGGATGACTCACGGAACTCATGCAGGACAGGTCTAGGGACGCTAAAAAGAAAAGTGCACAAAGAAAAAGGCATGCAGCCATGAGGAGAGCCCACAGCACCCTGCAACAGCCAGTAGCTGAGACACGTCGTGCCTTATTCTCATGAGGAGCAGCCAGTTTGTCCACATCTTTGAGCCTCACGGAGTCCCAGGTCTTCAGGTCGAAAGTTTTCAAAGGAGGGCCCACATCCATGCATGTCCGAGAGGGTACAGAGGTTTCCTGAATGACCTTTAGCTTCTCCCTAAATTCCTGCATCTGCTGGAGAAAGTACAGCGGGTCGGGCGCCTCCCTGAAAGCCTCGGCAATGTTGAGCGCGCGCTTCTGCTCCTCCAGCACCGCTCGCAGTCTGTTGATCTCCGGGTCGTATGCCTGCATCACCATTAGCTTCAACGTCTCGAAATCCGAGAGTATTTCGTTTTTCTTTTGCTCCAGGATTTTGACCAGCTTGTCGAAGTACTCCGTCACCCTGTCGGCGTCTCTGGACACCGCCTGCAGAGACTTCTTTTTATTCGTTTCCAAAGAGTCCAAACAGGACAGGATGTCGGTGCTGTGCCAACTTTCAAAACTCCGGAAAAGCTCTTCAAACGCCACACGCTCTTGTTCATACGCCTCCTGTAAAGCACTAAATTTATGCCCTTTGTGATCCCCAGTTGTTGCGCAAAACCCACAAATAAGTTTACAGTCTGTCGCACAGAATATATTCAGCGGCTGTCCGTGATGCGCCCTGCAAAGGGACATCTTCGGCATGATCTTGATCTTATTGTACTTCTCCACTATCCCGCGAAGGGAGTAGTTCACTTGCAAACTGTTCACACCGTTGTGGGGGGTTTCTTTTCGGCAAGTGGGGCATTTAAAGGGTGGTCTCCACAAGGGCCCCCTATTGCCCTCCAAGATACCCTCCAAACATTTCTTGCAGAAGCTGTGGGAACAAGGAAGGACTCGGGGGTCTTCATACAGACAGCAGCAGATCGCGCATGTAAGATCTTCTTCAAGAAGCTCCATTGCTGGGTGATAGATAGATAGATCGATTGATTACTCGTCAGAAATTCACTATGCAATCCACCGAGCTACAACACGAATTTCGCATAAAGAAGAATAATTAAATTCTGCTTCAAGGTGACCGAAGCACACAGATAAATAGACCGCAACATGTAAACATTAGCCACGTTACTCGTATCAGCCTACGCTTGTATTTCCGGAGCATATGTGCAGCATATAGGAGGTTAATGTTTAGCTAGCGGAATTCTTTGCCATGTCAGAAAAAGAAATCAATATGGCTATCTACAAACAAGTCGTTCATACTTCGGGTTGGTTTCCGAATAATTATTGCAGACCCCGTACGCTTAAAAGCCAGAATAAAGAAAGATCTCACGTTCCCGCCGTCCCCAGTCACAGCAGAAAGCGATCATGGCGCTTGTTACCCTGCAGACTTTGACCTTTCGCAGCGAATATTAACCGCTTCAGGGCCGCAGTGAAGCTGTGTGTTGGACGCGGCATCCTGCCCCTCCAATGCCACCGTCTGGCTATGGCAAGTAAGCACAGCACTGTGTGTCATTCCTATGAAAGCATATTTTTATACCTGTGTCATATTTCTCGCAACGGAGTCACTGTTTTACCGAAACAAATTAACTACTTAAATTATCATCATGTTAAACATTAAACATAACACCTTGTACCTGTCAGTTACGGCCGCGAAGCCTCTTGTTTCTCGTACCTTAGGGGGCGCCCTCCCCCGGACTCGCCTTTCCCAGGACTCCGCCGGGAAGCCGCTGCGCTCCGCCGTGCCGGTCCCGCTTCTGGCTGTCTTGTTTGTCACCTGTCAAATGGCCTCGGTTGTTTCCTGCATTTTGGGCTGCTGTGCAGACAGGAGGCCTGGTCATGTACCTCTTCATGAAATGCCTGCAGTTCAGTTAGACACACAGCATATGGGTAAGCCTCACTCTGTCTCTCATTCCAACGTAAAACAGTGCTGCGGTCTGCGAACATTAATTGGTGAGAGGTACTGGTGAAAAAAGTGAAATGGGCTGGAGAGAAAAGTTTCAGACTTAAAATCGAGTATTTGTAATCATTGTATCAGAGGTATTCCGGACGTACCAGACTAGTTCAAAGCTTAGTAAACAGCAGAATCGAAAGCGATTTGTTTTAGCTTTTAAAGACAAACTTTAGAAATACAACGTTAGTATGAAATTATTTTCATTTTTAGGTATAGTAATAAAGAACGATTAAGTTAAATACTGAAGACGATTGCAATACGCTGCGTAAGAACACGTTAGTGTGTTTATTGTTTAACCGTCTGTTACAGGTTCAGATGTGGTTGTGATTAAGAGTGGTAGACGGATATGTGGTACGGGTGGCTGCCTTTCCAATGCTCCACTACATCAGAACAAGAGCTACTTTGAGATCAAGATTCATTCCATGGGTAGGTTTTGCAGTTATTGTAGCTGGGATGGTAGTGTGTGAATTAAATGTCAGAGTTATGCCTGAAATGGAGATGTTTTGACTGCCTGTCAAAACATCCAGGTTCCTCAACGGATGATACACAATTAAGATATTTTAAATGTTTCTAATCTATCTTTGGTGGGATCTGTCATTGCTGGTGTGGGACACTTTTCATGTTTTCACGTGGGATGTTCCACTGCTGTGTTCTGCAGGATTGTGGGGTGTAGGTCTGGCTACTCCAATAGCTAACCTCAATCAGATCCCTATGGGACTGGATGCCCACAGCCTAGTCCTCAGAAATGACGGTTCAGTGTACCATAATAATGAGGAGAAGAATCGGTTACCAGCCAACAGCTTACCACAAGAGGGTGATGTTGTGGTGAGTGACTACAGGGGCTGGTGGGTCATTCAGAAATGTAGTGCCTCCATATATAGTTGATACTGCTTCTCCTTCATGACATGGTGAAAGCCACATTGTGTAAAAATCGTAGGTGTGGGAATCGGAGGACTGTGTGCATGCAAGAAACTATGTTGCCTGCAAATGAGTTGTGAGGCAAAAGCTTTCCCTGTCTTTCCCTTGGCCATTTTTATGAAATATTAGTGATGCAGATGATGCGTTACAAGCATACAGCCGTCATGGAGCCAGCTTAGGTACTGGATGTGCAGGTTAGAATTAGACCAAGAGCTAAACAAAAGTTTGTTGTACAAAACTTTGAATCTAACATCAGAACATCTTGCTAGACAAGTCTGTTATACATAAACAGAGCGTCCGCTGTTGCCATGACAATAACAAAGAGATTGCTGAAGAAGACGGACATTAGGTCAGTGATTGGATAAGTTAGTTGAGGTGTTCCTGGAAAACTGAGGCTTGAAACTTTTCTTGAAACATTTTGTATATTCCAACTTAATTGGTCAATGGAGAGAAAGGGAGGGGTTTTCATTTTATGGCCTGAACCATGACTGGTTCTCTAAAATGACTCAGTGGGTTTACAAGGAATCTTTTCATTGAAGCATAACAAAGTGCTTTTTATAAATATTCTTCTACTGTTTTCCAATCCCTTTTCAGGGCATAACATATGACCATGTTGATCTGAATTTGTATTTGAATGGAAAGAACATGCACTGTCCAGCCTCAGGAATCCATGGAACAGTTTTCCCTGTTGTATATGGTAAAGTATTTGAGCTTACTGTTCTGCTGACTCTTCTCGACAATGCTGACGATCATTGTGAAACAACTTCTTGGAACCACTTCTGCTTCATAAGGTGCACTGTTATCTGTGCCACCAGGTGGCAATAAATCCTTGATCCATTTTGCATAAGTACTTCATTCAAAGTGGGATTGTGGAAAACCTGGAGCTTATCCCAGGTATTGCAGAGTACAGGACAGGCCATACACTCAACAAGATGTCACACACGCACATAATATGGACAGTTTAGATCAACACAAATCACCATCTTGGAAACTTGCTTGATCACAAAGAGAGCATACAAACTCCACCACACACACACACACACACACACACACACACGCACACGCACACACACACACACGCACACACACACACACACACACACACACAGAGACCTGTATCAGTATCTTTGTGGGGACTGTCCATTCATTTCAATGGACAAAACCCAAATCCCAACAATGACAGCCTTAACCCCTACTCAGCCCTAACCCTAACCATGAGTAACCAAACAAAATACTAGTCTTTTGGCATTTTTAGTTTTTTGATTGCAGTCATGGATTTTTATAAAATTGAATTTCCCTTCATGGGGACCGAAAAAATGGTCCCCAGAATGTCAAAATAACAGGTTTATATCACATTTTGGACTCTGCAAGGACATTAATAATAATAATAATAATAATAATTGATACTTTATTGATCCCCGTGGGGAAATTGTTTTTACGCCTCCCTCAACTTGCTCTTTGTAGGGTTAATTAGTCAAATGCATAACACTGGAGGGATGGGAAAACAGTGGTATTCACTCAGCAATTGGACTGCTCTTAGAGGCGAAACATGTTTGATGGGAAACACCTGCTAAATAGCTGGTACACAGCAGAAAAAACAGATCAGAGATTATTATTTAATGGAAATACCCAGAGAATGGTTATTAGAACTTGAAGTAGAGTTGGTTTGTCACGCTAGAGGTAAGACTTAATTTGTATATAAAATGAGTGGGGAATCCACAAATACAGTCTTCTGTTCCGGGTCCTCTGTAGTCATTCATTGATCTCATCTCACCATTGCAGTGGATGACAGCGCCATCTTAGACTGCCACTTCAGTGATTTCAACCATGCACCACCCCATGGTTTTGACAAAATAATGTTTGAGAAGCAGATCTTCTGAGAGCCAGTGCTGCACCAGTCTGAAGTGAACTGCATCCCTGTGCCAGTCTCTCTCCAACCGGTTCTGCATCTCTTCTTCTGGCCATTGTGCATTACAGCCGTGTACAACTTCACCGGGCTGAGTCTTGTCATACTATTCTTGGATTTGCTGCTGCAGAAGCCTTGCATGGAGATATATTGATAGTAAGTACCGATGAAGCTGGACCCATGTTATTAAAGGCAACATCCGGACATTTACATAAGCGAACAAGCAAAAGTCTCCTTGGTTATTTACTGAAATGTGTTACAGTATTGATCCATCCATCTTCTGTACAGTACAAGATCATAAGGCCCGTTTTTGAATCACTACTGGCAAATATGATTTTAAATTTATGGCTACTATTAACTATAGTCACTATTTGCAAACTTAAAATGTTAACTAATTTACTATTGATTCATGACATGACTGGATTTACAAACTGAAGGTTGTTTCATAACTGCCTGGTCAGTAGGCTATGGGGAGTAACTCCAGCAAGTTTATTGATCATATATTACCTGTCTGTGAGACAGGTAAGGCACCATAGGAATGCCGTGCTATAGTGAATGAATCGACTGGAATAAGTCGACGTTTTGTCATGGCATACAGACATACTGTATGTAAATCTCATTTTACACACAAATAAATAACACAGCGCCGACTCTCCGCTGAACAGTCGACTTTTATGTGCCATTAAGATAAAGAGGAATGATGGTCATAAATTAGGATTTTTAAATTTATACACACAATGAAAAAAATTAGGACACCGTTCGTGCCACGCCCTGCGCATGCTCCTTTGATAAGAAATCGGTACAAGGTAAAACACAGCTTTCATTTTCTTTGATAAAAAGATCAATCAGTAGGCATATTTCAATATAACCAATCCAGCACATTTATTGCGCATTATCGACATAACTATACTGTTACGCATGCAGATATTTAGTGTGTATTACTAATATTTTTCTTCATAACCTTCAGTTGTGGTGTCAAATTTTAACGCTGTGGGAAATCCTTAATAATAGGGGCCACACGGTGTCCCCGTGGGTACAAGTTTGAACTGCACTTCCATTCTCTGTGTAAAGTTTGCGTGCTGTAGGGTTTTCAATGACGTGCAGTTAGGGTAATTACTTGTAGTCCACTTGAGGCGTGTTGCAGATGTAAATTAAAATGGTAAACTGGAAATACAGAAAATCAGCAAAACGCATCACAAGATGTAGTGAGCCTTGTACATGCATTACAACAGTGCCTAGTAAGAAGACCTCAAAAAAGCTTTGGACATCTTTTTTTTTAGTAAGGCCTAATTTATAATTCCACAGAATGAAAATCCATTCATATTTATTGCTAACTACCTAAATATTGATATTTGTGAATCATCGTCTATTTTAATCTGCATTAAGTGTCTGATGAACCAGAACAACATTAATTGCGGTTCCCCAAACCAGTAGCTGTTGTCAGTTTTGCAACCACCCGCAGCCCTTCGTATTCTCTTCTACTCGATTGCACTCTCCTTAGGTACGGTTCCCCATTTCCGCTCCTAGAGGACCAACACTGTTTGCAGATATCCCTACTCAAAGACATCTACTAAACCTGGCCATTAGCTAGTGCGCTGAATAAGCCCTCCAGGACGGGAACGAAGGAACACTATAGCATTTCTTCGTCGGCCTAACTGTAAAAGACGGTTCTCTGGGGCAGTTTAAATACGCCGGTGGTCATATAGCCCCGCCCCTTCCATACCTAAAGACGTCATTGCGTCGCGGCGCTTCTCCGACAAGGCCCCGCCCCTCGAGCTTCCGGGCGTAGCGGGGCCACGCCCCCACGTCGGGCCGCTTCCCCCTCCCCTCCGATCTTCCTCAGTCTTCGGTGTCACAGAAGCTCGGAGCGCCGGACTGCAACTCGCACGACGCAGCGCGTTAAAGAGCCATGGCAGAAAGCGCCGGCTTGGAGAACCATCGCATCAAGAGCTTCAAGAACAAGGGCCGCGATGTCGAGGTGAGACAGGGGGCAGGAGAAGGAGCGGGACCGTGGGAGTGAGAGGGGGGGGTTACGGAGAAGGAACGTGCGATCGGGGGGCTCTAAGCTCCGGCCTTGTGACAAGCTGGCGGGCTGAATCTCTGGGAGTCAGTGTTCAGGAAACCACCCGCGCCGGCTTCGTCATGCGGGCGCGGCCTGGGGCTGTTTCTCCGTAAGGTTCCCCTACAGACAGCAGCGTTTCTTACCGTAGCGTCGGCAAGAAGCACCCCGAGCTCAAGCAGCGCACGGCCCTCCGCCTGGCGCCGCGCTAACAGGCCCGTGTGGGAGCGGACTGCGGGCTAAATGGCGCCTGATGGGCGCAGCGACGCCGGGATGCGACGCCGGATTTAACCAGTTAAACCGGCAAAGGAGAAGCGCCTCCCGCTGGATCTGTGCGCAGCTTTTTCGTCCGCGTCGTTAATTTCGCTGGTGTAGGTAAAGCTGGTTATTAGCAGCTAGTCGTCGGCATTTAGCCGCTTAACCCGGTTTGTCCCCCGGCGGGCCTGAGCACGCGAAGTGCCGGTATCTCAACTGCTCGTATTTTAGATTTCCCCGGTTTTATTACTGGTTAACAAACGATTGCAGATAATCGACGTATTTTACTTTCACCAAGGATGTGCGAATCGATCTTTTTAATGTGTGGTACGCCGTATCGTCGTCTGTCCATCCTTTTAACGTTGAAGCGTCATCAGCAGAGTTTTTCTGCAAATCGTGTGAAATTGTATTCAACGGATTATGTTTTTCTCAACTGGCGCACCGCATCGCAGGCTTTAAAGGTGCCGTCCCCCCTGGGTCAGCCTGCGCAGGGGCTTCCTGTTGTATTTCATCGTTTTTGACATGCATCCGCACCACACACACACACACACACACGCGCGCGCGCACACAAAATGCGCCCCGTTTGTCGGGCCCGCGGCGGCCGGAGCCTCGGCTTGACGCGCGGCGCCGCATGTTACATGTGCAGCAGCTAAACTAAACGGTGACAGCGGTGTGCAGGGATGGGTTGACAGTACAGCGCGTCTGCAGGTGCATTTAAGCAAATGTGTCACTGCAATGTAAAGTGTTAGTGGTATGCAATGTATTTAAAATTCTGGCTTTATAACAGAAAGCAAATACTTATATTAGCTGTACCATTTGAATATGCAGTTTTCTGTTTTTTTTTCCCAACCTATGCACCTTGCTGTGCTCTAATTGATGATATAAGAGCATGGAAACTATGGCCACCCATTAAGCCCAAATTTTGAGAGAAGCCTTCCCAAGGAAAGATGTGAATGTTCCAAAGTGGGAGGAATTTACATCCAGACCTTTTCTTTAGACACAGGGCTGGTACTCCGCTGAGAGAGCGGTGTTGACGTACCCTTCTGTCTCCTCAGTTTCCTTCTGAGTAACGTGTTGTGTGTAATTCTCAGCATACGGACTGAAGATTCTACAGATTATAGCGGCTACTGATTTTTACCTGATGTGCTGTTATTTTAATGTACTTCAAAATGGGAGATTTGGCTGTAGAACTTTTAGAGCCTGCCGTTAATGTGTGTTATGATGGAGTGAGTTTTTCAACTCACCACAGATGAACAGTGAGATCTCATTTAAATTTTAAAGGAATTTATGCTGAGATGGAGGGTTAAAAAAATGTTTAATGGGGTTTGCATTCAGGCAGTTGCACATGTTAGCTTTTCGGACATCCCATAATGTGAATGCGAGGATCAGGAGGCCAGCTTGTTGGGCTGCTATTTTACAAATTATGAAAAGCAGAGGTCCGACCCTGGTGGACTTAAGTGCATAATCCCAGAACGGTTGTTTTCTTCGATTCTTTAATTTAGAAACATAAAGAAGATGGTTCCCCTTCTTGTTCAGAATTTGCTGAGCTGACGGTAGTTCTTGCTTTCAGTCTGTCAGTTCTGATGGCACAGATGAAATGGCAGACAAATGCCATTTGAGTGCTTCATGGTCATTTTGGAAGATATGTACATTTCTCATCCTGCCCCCAAATAACACCTCCACTGTATTTTCACATCTTTTCCTCTCAAGTTGATATAGAAATGGCCTGGTAATAAATTAATGAACATTTGTTGCTGATGTCATGTATCCCACAATCGTGGGGCAGGATCTGTGTTAGAAAGCATAAATGCACAAGCATGATCTGCGTGAAGGTAATTGACCGTTAGCTGGGGATTAGTCGCCTTAGGGACGACTTTCTGTTGAGTTGCTATAACAGACACATGCAGGCCTGCTTTGGTAAACCGAACACATGTTTTAGGTCTCGACTTCACTTCCTGCCGTTTTTGTGCCCTGATTCTGTTTGAACGAGCATCTAAGTGTCTATACTCTGTCTGATTGTTGTTGGCTCGTGATATGCTCAGGTCAGTCAATAAATATTTTATTAAATAAATGATTAACATGATCGCGAACCGACTTTGTTTAAAAGAATCCATCAATCACACTCTTGTGATGGGACATTCGTGCTGGGCAGTCTGGCTAGTTTCTCCAGTGTGTGAACGTTGTGCTTGATTTGCTAGGTACTCTTTGCTAATCCCGCAGGATTCAGCTGGATACGTCGCAGGAAGCTTTAAATTCCTGTATTTAGCTGTATTCAACCAAGTATAGAATTCTAAAATACCACAGAACAATTAAGCAACTCTTTTGTTTGGTTATAAATTGTATTCCTTAACACATTCACTCATATTTTAAAAGGACTGTTACATGACAAAGATGTAGCCTTTTAAAAGGAGGCAATTATTTTGGGAATAACGTTTAGTGAAATTCTTAAAATTGATATACGAACACAGTCCACTGCCTTAATTGCATTGGGGAAAGCTTATGCTTACAGGCCTCTTTACACAGCTCTTAATTTAAATGGAACCCAGCCTTTGGAGTAATGTCTTAAGTTGTTAAATATTGTGCTGCTAGGAGTTTCACTTATAAGTGCATGTGTGCTACTTAGACCTTACAAAGAGCGAATTTTGATTTAGTAGTAGTAGCAAGCTACGTGTATAAATATTTATATAACCAATTTAACCGTTTGGCCTAAACAGTTATGAAAAAACAATTTTTTCCCTGAATTAGATATTTTGATCGTTACTCGGTTGTTTAAGGGCAATAACGCAAACTTGCTACTGTCAGTCTACATGCAAGAAGTGGTTTGAATCTTATCAGATCCCGAGCCCTGATGTTGATGGCCGATGTCCGGCATTGATGATCCGTACTGGTATCTTGGTTGACTGGTCACACTTTAGTCAGTACGTCATCATATTGTCTTTGTCAGATTTGATTGCTGTTAAGTTGACGTATTTGAAGACCAGTGATAAGAAAGAAATGGGATCTGTAAGCGACCCTAAGTTGCGGAATGGTCTTTGCTGAGAACGTCCAAGTCCCCAGTTTAAAATGGATTTTTTCCCCCTGAAATGCAATGTTTTGTCCAGTCACCCTGTCTATTGTGTGAACTTCAGGCAACATGCCTACCGCGATGATCCTTACCTTCTGTGTAACGGTCTTCCCATGTGATAACTAGGTCAGATATGGCTAAAAGATACTTTTTCTATTTACTGATTTCCTCAAAGAAGGATGAAAACCATGGGGTTGTAGAATTCTTAATGGATAGATCCAGCACCTCAGTTCTGCTACCTCACGTTTATCTCTTTATTCTGCCTCTTTTACGCTGTCCCAGTGTTTGAGTGTGTATGGAAAGGAGCCTGAAACGTTCCTTCTAATCTGCTTTAATTGAATATGCCAATGACGTGGCTTGACAATGATATTTGCCCAAGCTCCTTTGGAAGAACGCATTTGATGACAGCACAGTCCTTCTGGGACATGTTGCGTACACAACAGGGTCTGCTCAGGCTCTGACATGTAATACAGTGCTAGTTTATCCAGGGCTGGTTCTTAAGCAATGACTGCCAATGCAACAAAGGTAAAATTTGAAGCTTGATGTTGCTCAGATTTGCAGAATTTGAAGTTCAAAACCAGACCATTTAATGCCCATCGCTGCTTCAGTAGGGTATCGTCTTTACCTAGTGTGAAGCAATCTAGCATCAAGGGTGACAGCTGAATGGTATGGGGCAAGAACTTCTAGTCAGAACGCTACATCATATTTATGTGTCCCCAACACAGATTTAGACCACTATTGTTTTGTAGTGGCCAAACAATATATCTGTTGTTTAATTATATCTACGTTATACATAGGTGTGTGGGATATTGCGGTCTCTTCTGTCTGTTTTTTTTTCTCACAGATTTCACTAAGGGCTTTTATTTGTATGTTTAGCTATCAGACTATTTGGCGTGCGGGACAGTAGTTCAGTGTGCCTTTGAAAATTGGCTTGTTTGGTTATATGCTGTGCACAACTTTGAGTGGAACCTGAGAGGGTTTGAGGAGGTCTGGGGTCCCTTTGGCTGTAGAATCAGTATTTCTAGCAGACAAATAGTATGGGTGGTTGCTTCAATGAGTGATTGTTTTTCTTGTTTGCGAAGTTATAAGTTATTTTAACCCTCAAAAGCCTGAAAAAACCTCAGCTAGATTTTGATTGTGTGAACTTTGATTTAGATTTTTTAAAACTACATTGATTTTAATATTGTAATTCATATATTTGATGTTGTATCACTTGGCCAAAAGTATACTATCTTTTATTTATTCCTCGAATCGCAGTTAATTGATATTAGTGTTTGATTACAAAAGTCTGTCCTATGAGGATAAGAATAGCTTAAAATATTCAATCAAGGCCCATTTCATACGTGTTTGGACACATTTAATGCAAGGGTTTATTTTCTTCACAGGGTGGGGGAGATTAAAAATTCCAGTATATAAAAATGTAGCTTTTTACACATATTATAGGACCCCTCTGAAAAGCATATTGTGCTAGACTGTTCTGATAATCATGTCATTAGATAGCAGTTCTTTTCTACTACATTGCAAATTTTTTTTTAGTAGTGTGTCACCAAGACGGCATTTAAAATTTTTATTGCTAATATGTTTGCATGCCTTGTAGTATGTGTGTATTTTATTTTATCTTAATTTCTTTATCTTTTCAGTTTTGCGAGACATTGATATTTACCCATTTATACATCGATTAATTTATATATATATATGTGTGTGTGTGTGTGTGTGTGTGTGTGTGTGTGTGTGTGTGTGTGTGCGCGCGCGATCAGCTGATGCCCGTTTTAAATGCTGAAGCCACACAGCTGTCAACAGGAGAACCAGGACCAGCCTGTTCCTGACCACGTGCCGTCAGCATCTTTCAGGCTGGTTACCTGCTGCACGTGGGCTCTTTCCCACCTTAGACTGGGACGCTGTGTGGGTCTGCTGAGATCCAGGATTGTCTTAATCCTTTTTTATGTTAACTAGCTTTGGGAGTGATGCAGCACCCTGGAATTCAGTCAATTTGACCCTTCTCTGGGTCATCTGGGTGCAGACAACGCAGACATTTCATACATATAGTCAGACATCCTCTGTTGACTTGCAACTGAAGGAAGCCGGAAGATGCAGTGATGTTCCATTACTGCAGAACAACATCTGATCTTAAAGTTAAAATGTGCTTGTAAAAATAAACTCATGATTTGATTAACAAGTCGCTCATCTGCCATCTTTATGTGACCCTCCTCAGAGATGGCTGTGATACCCTGATTATATAAGTGACTATTTAGGATTGTAACATGAACCAGGATGGCGCATCACAAGGTCTGAGGAGATCCAACACCAGCCAGCCTATTTCCAGCTCCGTGTTTTGCAGGGTTTTTTCCCCTCCTTCCTCCTGTTCTCCTTCAGTGGTTCTCCTTTGAGTTCGCCGGAATAAATCTATGTAAAGTTTTGTCAGGAATTTTCTCCCCAAATGCTTCTATGTAGGGCGATGCTCACATCTCGCGTGATATAGCTTCTTGGTAACGTAGGAAACTGTGCCGTGGGGGGAGGGAGGGGGGCAAGAGTGCTACGCATGTGTGACACGCAGTGGCTGTGTAGGAATGTGTCTTGCAGTGCTGGTGGCCGCAGAAGCTTGGTCAGACACCAGCGCTGCGTCCTGTTGTGATGGAGCGGCCAGCCTGGGTCTGTCCCGCATGCCGGCCTGTTTCTTGATTACATTTTTACATTTTATTTACTTAGCAGACGCTTTTATCCAATATCTGAGGGAGGGTCAGACTGTCCTTGGAGAAACTGGAGACCCAATGATGAAATCACTTTGCCAGTGGGATTGGAACCAGCTACCTCCTGAACACACACACCACCGCCTCTTGATGTATTCTCTGTCTTGGAGGCCGTTTGGCTTGTATAGGCTATTGTTAGTGTCACATGGAGGGATAAAGTGATGAATTCATACCGATACCTGCTATTAATTATGCGGACAAACATCATATGACCACCCAGCTTTAAGGAACTGTTTTATCTGATCTCATAATGCAAACCACCAGCATTTTGTATAGATGTGTTCTGTTTTTTTCTTTGGCATTAGTTATACTTGGTTTCTAAGAAGTGATAAAATTGATGTGATTTTTAGCCTGATCATGGTTTGAAGAGCAACATAATTAAAATGAATCTTCATTGAGGCTGTTGGGTACTCATCCTCTGTAGACTTGATGGACGGCAACCAAACGTTGCTTATCTTGCCACTCTCCATCTCTTTCAGACTATGAGAAGACATCGGAATGAAGTCACAGTGGAGCTGAGAAAGGTATGTGCCCGCTTTTTACTCAGTGTAGGTACCGGCAGATGTTGTGGGGGGGGGGGCACCCAGCCAACATACGGAGGCCCAGTGCCAAGAGGCCTGATTCATTCTTCTGGACTCATTGAATAAACCTCCTGTTGAGGGTCATTGAGGGTTAATACCATCCAGTGTGCAAAGTTAGATGATGTGGTGGGTTATATTGCTCCCATCCCGTCTTGGCGACTATGGTGCCAAAGTGTATTCTGGTGCTGAAGGTGACCCTCCGGTAACCTGTGAGGCCTCTGGCATGTGGTCTGCAGGAGGAGCATTAGTTCTGTCCCGTCTTCCAAACCCGGTTATGCATCTTCTGCTGCACATCATCCATTGACTTCTATCAGTGGTCCAGCCTGCCTCCTTGAGTCTTCTCACATCACAACAAACTGTCAGTTTGCTGGGATGGACGATCGGCCCTGCTGCCGTTCTTCTGCAGAATGTTTCTTGTTCTCTTCAATCTCATTCAGCTCTTGTATCGATGATGCTCACACAGTTTTGAAGGAACCACCCTGACTAGCATCTCCGTTACCTGGTAGCAGAGACCTGGTTAAAACAAGAACTCGTTTATTATGTGATTTTCTTTCTTTTTCTCTCGGAATACATTTTAACAAGTTGCTTCTTGGCTTGGCTTCATCAGCAGTGGATTGGTTTGGTCTAAACTGTAGGAACCAAGTAGGGCAGCTGATCCATCTTTAATGCATGGATCAACAATGTTTTTACATATACACTGTAATGGAATACACTATAACCCTAAGAAACGTGTAGACAGACTTCTGAGTTAAAGGTTTGTATGGTTCTGCTTTGGTCTTTATTTTTGCATGAGAGTTTCCAAGCTTGTCTTAGGCAAATAAAATATGAATGAGTGTGTATATGTGTGACGGCTTCTGGGTTTGCGATTGGTACATTGTGGTTTGGTGTCTCCCCTGTGTGTTACACCAACTGCTTCATACTTGTTCTGTCATTCCCAAACCACAGTCTCCTCTGCCTGTGATTCTGGCATCAGCTGGCCATGCGTGGGACTGGGCCTGGATCAGGAGATGCTCTATCACCGACCTCTGTGGGTGCTGATGGGCTGGCTTGGAGTAGGTGGCTCAGGAGTGGTCATGTGATGCTTGAGTCCAGCAGTGTCTTTTTCAGTTCATTCTGGTGGACATTAAACACAAGGATGTAATAGTAACTGAAGGGCAAACAGAAGGGCCACGATGGTCCATTGTCCTCTTTCTCCAGCAGCCCTCACATGTTCTGTCAGAGTTGCTGGCACCATGAAGTGCCTGAAACTGATGTTTCACTGTACGTGCAAGAAGGAAGTATATGGGGTATATGGTTTCGGGGTATATGGGGTATATGACAGCCCTTCTGCATTGCGACAGGTGACCCACGTGTCAGATCCAATAATCACCTGAGCCGTGAGCAGTTCCACAGCAGGAGCAGCCAGGCACTACTTGCACAGCTCCGGCGCTCTTCTCCAGATGGGGGTGTTTTTAATGTCCGCGGGGATGTTCATCATGTGTGCGGACTAGTGATGGGCAAAATGATACTTATGAACCATTTGATGTATTTTTCGACTCCATTAGATGGTGCTGTCTGTTCAAAAAAGGGCTAAAAGCAAGCAAGCCAAGAGCGCCATCTAGTGAGGTCAAAAAATACAGCAAATGGTTCATGAAGCTTCATTTGCCCATCACTAGTGTGGATCTGGGGCTTACAGGGTCTGATAATCCCCTTACTGTTTGGGCAGACCTTCGGGAATCAGACCCGGCTATTATATGAAGCTGTTTCTCAGCTTTGTGCCCCCGATCTCCCCCCCCATGAGCCTCTTCTCCGACTCGATCCCCCTGAGGAGGCTGGATCTCATCAGAGAGGTGGCTCCACAGCAGAGTGCACTGTGGACGTTGCTGGCCACCTCCTCTCGAGTCTGGGCCGTCGCTGCATTGTGTTTCAGGACCCAAACAAACTGCCGCAGTGGCTGATTCGGTAAGGAGGGATATCACAGCAGTCCTGAATGTATCTATCACCTAAGCCAGCTAGGAAAGCTCCGCGTAAAGGAAGTGGACTCTGGGGAAAGGAGAAGCTCCCCTTTGCATCAGAGTCTCTCCAATTAGTCATCACGAACGTCACTGGCAGCCTGCGGAATGCATCGCTGGGATCGTTCAGATCTGCCTCTCAGAGCGTGTGTGTGAGAGAAAGAGGGCCAAGACACAGAGAGGGATTAAGCTGCGATTGTTTTAATTGTCTCAATTAATTTGCAGCACGCTCTCAGCTGACAGGAGCCCGGTCAATGGGAGTTGAGGAAATGCCATCGCTCTGACCAGATGTCATAGGTGACTCTGAGCAAAGCCGTCTGCCGAGTTGGGCTGTCATTCTCGGTTCCGGGGGCCCTAAATTTAAATCAACTGAATTTTCTAAAAAGTGGTCAGTCCGGTCAGTACACCGGATTCTTTTGTTGAATAAGACTCTGATTCTGAAATATCCATGGAAGGGTCATCCCTCTTGCGAACTCCAATCTGAGTCATCTCGTGGTACCTCAAGAAGAAAACAAATATCAACATCAATAATGATTCATCAGTTATGGCAATTTATATAGATAATGGGTGGGAAGCTCCATACTAAATAAATTTTAAAAGGTCTTGTATTACTTCTAGATGGATGACTAATGGAATAGAGTCTAGTGCTTCATGTGTATACATGATCGGCCTTGACTGCTGTATCGGTTGAACAGTAAATTTGGCTGATATTCAGGTTCCACTGGTGGAACACCCTCTAAACAGTTGTAATGTCTCTTAAACAATTATGTTGAGAAAAGTAACATCAGTGGAATACTCTGCCTTCATATCCTCATTTCTTATTGTCATCTTTTTTTATTCTCCTGGCAAATTTTATGACCAGTAAAGAAAGAGGTGAACAATTAATTTTTAGTAATATTTTTTTCAACCTGCAGTGATTTTTCACCTTAGGGTATCATAACCTGGGGTATACATAACTGGTACGCTAGTACGCATTCACCTTTAAGAACGATACGTACGGCAATCGATTGTTTGTAAAAGTGCAAATGTGTAATTATTTTATGTGCATTTGTGCTGCTATGACAAGAAAATACCTTGCATTTTAACCCGTATACCGCAAATGAAGTCGAGTTAGCATATAAAGATTAAAATGCATTATTTTATTTTGTTTTCATAGCAGCAAACAATTGATTGCCGCACGTGTCGTTCTTAAAGGTGAATGTGTACTTGCGTACCAGGTATGTATACCCCTGATCATAACCATTTAAAACGTTTGCTTGAACCCAGTACTTTAGTTTTCTGTGAATACCGTTTTCAAAGGGCTTGTGGCTGAGTTGAGGGAATTCGTAAATGATCCATCCAACCCAAATAATTATGAAAGAAATGTCCATCTGTTGCAGTGCTTGTTTGTTTCACTTTTTCACCAAGAAAATTATAAGCTTTCATCACACATTACCAATTCTTCTTGGACATAAGTTATAGCCAGACTTATGCCTTAGAAATCATTTTTCACGCCTTATTAATCTTCCCACATTAAAACATTTTCTTCCTTCTCCTTAAGAACAAAAGAGATGAGCACCTGTTGAAGAAGAGAAATGTACCACAAGAGGAAGGTCTGGAGGATTCAGACGTCGATGCTGATTTCAAAGGGGTGAGCCTGAAATCAGCTGCCTGTTCTGGCCTGGAGTCACGCCTCGCCTTTGCCGTCGCTTTCACAGCACGGCCAGCCAATGGCCAACCTTCAGGGGACTGTCCTTCATGCCGTTGTCTGCTAATGTCCCTTACAAAGCTGGCAGTTCCTCGGCCAGTGATGTAGGTTCTTTGGAAGTTCACCTGCAGTCCGACGGGCTTTAAAATTCATGGAAAGATGTAAGGATCTGGGAAACATTCCAGGACTGAGTCGTTTGCATTAATGACATTTTTTTTCCTTGTGTCTCTATATAGCAAAATGTGACCCTAGATGCCATTTTACAGGTAAGACAGCAGCGACACGCCCATGTCCATAAGGCTTATGGGGGTCTTTTGTGACCCGCATGCCGCTTCTCATCTACGTGCATCTTTCATTAGATGTCTTGAAGCGTGTGTCTAACATTGGTTTTTGTTTTATTGAAGAATGCCACCAGTGACAATGCAGTGGTGCAGCTCAGCGCGGTCCAAGCAGCCAGGTACACGTCAGCGTCTGTAAATGTATAAAAACGGCGGGATCTCCAGATCTCCTGTGGATTCAGCTGCAGGGGTCCTCTGTGCACTTTAGTGTACGTGTGGGGTCAGCTCTTGCCATTACGAGTTGTAGTCTTTAAATGTCTATTTATAACCCCTCTCGCAGGAAACTACTTTCCAGTGATCGGAATCCCCCCATCGATGACTTAATAAAGTCGGGAATCCTTCCCATCCTGGTGAAATGCCTGGAGAGGGATGACAAGTGAGTGTTTGCTGGGGGGGGGGGGCATTTCCACCCACCGGTGTTAATGGGATGGCGGCAGTCCAAAGTGGATGGTGCTTCATTACATCAGCCAGACAGGCCTTGGGGGGGGGTGGGGTGGGAATTCCCTTGGCTGGCAGTAGGGGGCGAAGGGTGTTTCCCTGCTGTTCTGGGAGGTGTACAGTGTGACTGCCAGTATCAGGGTGTGTGTGTTGACCCTGAGCACTGGACTGCATTGGGTGGCTTTCGGCTGCTCTGCCGTCGCATTCGTGTACAAGCCGGGCTGCTTTCACAGGATTTCATCACTCTGCACTGGCTTGGTACATTCCCCTTTTCAGTCAGAGCTCTGCAAATCTATGTTGATTATATAATGCGCTCGTACATGCCTGGTTTTGCTGTGGTTTATTTTTTTTGCTGCATCCTTAAGGTTATTACTGTGTTTCTGTAGAGGCCATAATTGAACCCTGCTCATCAGACTGTAAGCTTAGTTCCGACTCCCGTCCCGTATGTGGAATTTATGGATTCCTCACGGTGCTTTTTCTGCCGGACTCTCCCGGTTCCTAAAGCACGCCATTCTCATTCTCCTACACTCTTCCCACCCGGAGTCTGCGCTGCCCTCAATCCGACACCGGCAGAGATAAATCTGCATTCCCATCTCGCCGCGGTCGCCGTGTTCCCAGGCCGGCGCGGGCCGGGCCGCAGGAAAAGGGGGTCGTCACGGTGACGATGCGCCAGACTCGCAGGCCGACAAACGAGTGGCCAAAGTCGCTCGTCTGCCAAAAAAGTGAGCCGCTGAGCGTCCAGCGAGTTCTATTCCAATTTGTGACACAGAATTTTTCTGGGTCACTTGTTTCGTGAGTCAACGAAGCGTGATCCCCCCCCCCCCCCAGCTGGATTGCTGCCGCATTAGTATCGTTTTCTTGAATAGACGGGTCGTGAAATATGGGCACTCATTCTCTCTTTACCCCAGTCCTTCCTTGCAGTTTGAAGCAGCGTGGGCGCTCACGAACATCGCATCTGGGACATCGGCTCAGACTCAGGCTGTAGTCAAATCCAGTAAGCTCACCTGGGGGTGGGTGGGGGTACTGCAGGGCACCAGGTCTTATGCGTGTGTCTCCCGGCCTGGGCTGCTCTGGGGGCTCTCTTATTGCGCTTCCCCCGTTTGTGTGCTGCCGTTTCCTGTGAGCCCTTTTCCCCGGGCCCCCTAGTGAATGTGTGTGGGCGACGCGTTTTGTGTTCCTGCCCGTGTCGTGGAGATGACTTGCTCTGACCTCTTTCCGTAGATGCTGTACCGCTCTTCCTGCGGCTCCTGCAGTCCCCCCACCAGAACGTGTGCGAGCAGGCCGTCTGGGCGCTCGGCAACATCATCGGTGAGTAGGCCGGCTCCAGACCGCCCACCCTCATGTACGTGACCCCGTCCCCCTCCACCACCCGCACCCCACACCCCCCCAGCCTCAGAGGGCTGCTGATCGCTGCCGACGCCCGTGTCCTCCTGCAGGAGATGGCCCGCAGTGCAGAGACTACGTCATCTCCCTGGGCGTGGTCAAGCCCCTCCTGTCCTTCATCAACCCCTCCATTCCCATTACCTTCCTGCGCAACGTCACCTGGGTCATTGTCAACCTGTGCAGGAACAAAGACCCCCCCCCACCCATGGAGACTGTGCAGGAGGTAAGGCTGCACGTGTGCATGCGTGTGTGTGTGTGTGTGTGTGCGCGAGTGTGAGAGAGGCAGGAACAATGCATCGGAAGGTAAGCGAGTCCGATTCGAGTTTGATTTCCATGAGTACCTTGGCAGGAGATTTATGTTCACAAATACACTGCTGACATATGGGGCCATTAGTGTGGCTAAATTATTACCATCTTGCCCCTGGCCACACAGACGGCTGCATAAATCAATCTGCAGTGCTTCAGGTAGAGAAACACAGGACTCTTTGGGTGCAGCAGCGCGTTGAGTAAAAGCTCAGGCTCGTACGTACACCTGCGAACAGTGACACTGTGTCATAAAATCGTTAGATACCAGCATGTGCTTGTGTCGCAAAGTGGGCAAATTAGAATCTGAATTCACAGAGGATTAGTTGGGGTTTTAAACTTGGAAGATCTCCAGAACGACGCGAGAGAGGATGGTAGACCTCCACCACTCTTCCAAATGAAATATGCCGATATTAGGTTTGTGTACAACTGGACCTCCTTTGTCAGAGGAATTCCTCATCCAAATAGTGTGATTTTTTTATTTATGAGATAATGAAAAGTATCAGTGCTTCAGAAAGCTTGATTAGCACGATGATGATGGGTGTGTTAAACTGCAAATGTCCTTTGTTGGTAAATGAGGTAGCGTGTGACTCGGCATATTAGGATGCTATGCGTGCGGTTAGGAGGTGACCGGTTCAAATCCCAGGGTCAGCTGAGTGATTTCACTGTCGGGTCCTTCAGCAAACGCCCTCAACCCCAAGTGCTTCAGGAGCTTTGATCCTGCTTTCTCTGGTTATTCTGCAAGATCAACAAAATATGAATGTAAGACAGAGGAACAATAACACACGACTGATGCTGATCCTGCATTTAACTTCAGATCAGAATTTAACTTTCACTCAAAGATCCACCACCTCCAATTGCTTACTTTGTTTAAACTAAAGATTTTTTTTTTAAATTAATATTAGATTTTCAACCTAGATTTCAACTTCATAAGCAGTGCAGGAGGCATGGGGCAGTGCCTTCACTGTAAGGGTCCAGTTGGCATGTTGGTTAACGATATGCGTTAGTATTCTGAAGGTTGCTAATTCGTGTCCCATCTATTGCCTTGCTGCTGAACAAGAATCCAAACCAAAAATCGCTCATATAAAATAGCAACATGTGAAATTTAAGGGTGTAAGTCATTGAATAAATGATGAATCGGCGTGTGTGGGTGTGTGTTTGTCTCCTTCATGTGGCCTGTGACTGACTGCAGTACCTCATTGTGTACACCCCTCCTCCATATTCCCTGGCTGTCTAAAATCTTCCCAAACACTGCCCTATTTTTAGGCTCCCAGCAGCAAAATCTGGACCGTAAGTATGAGGACTGATTAATCTGTAACATTTCAGCACTCGCACCTCAATAACAAAGGGGGAAAAAGTGCAAAAATAATGATTATCTTGCGCATGAGGCACCCAGAAAAATATTCGATTTCTTCTGTTCCCTGGCCTTGTCTTCTGCCGCTGGCGGCAGCAAAGGCCTTCAAATGATCCGTGTAGCTTCAAAACATCATTCACATTTTGAGTCTCTGTGGCTTCCTGGGTGAATTTAAATTCTCCCTCCACCCCCATTGGAATGGCTTTTTCCATTACCCATTTCCCCCTAAACAATCAGTTAATGAACATTTTGATTAAGCAGGCTTCAGGAATTGTTTAGATGGCTTATGGCACAAGGCACTGCATTAACTATGTATTACGTTAGTATGGTGATTAGAGCACTGTGCCGTGAAGATAAGCTGATGATTTGAGTTGTAGGTCCTCCGTTGGAGCAGGTCACATACATTACCCTGAAGGTCTCAGCCAGGTCATAGATCGACTTAATTAGGAGACGGAACTGCTTGACGGTGCGTTTGACACTCTCTGTCCCCCTCGCCCACAGATCTTACCTGCCCTCTGCGTCCTGATATACCACACAGATATCAACGTAAGTATGGCCTCCTTCGTACCACTCGAATAAAGCTGCCACCTTTTCAGCCTGTACGCTAAAGTATAGGGTTGTGCAGTTTGTGATTAACAATCAGTTTTTGTCAAGAAACAAAAAAACAAGAAACACTTTTTATGAAGTGCAGGGTTCCCGCGGGGTCTTAAAAAGTCTTAAAAAGTCTAAAATTCAGAAAGTTAAATTTAAGGCCTTAAAATGTCTTAAAAATGCCCAGATTTTCATCCTAGGTCTTAAATTCAATATACCCAAGTCTTAAAATTCTTACCTCCGTTCAATCCCAAAAAGCGTTGTCCGCAGAAATTAAAATAGTAAATCGCTGTAAAACTAATCCGTTGCTTGTGTTTTCTGGTCTGCACCGGTGTCTGCGTGGTAATAAAACTACAAATCCCATCGCGTGATCACTGCAGCGCTAGGCAAACAAACGAGAAGGGTCTGTCCCTCTAGTGGAGAAACTCCACTAGAGGGACGGAAACACGTGATCTCCACAAGCGAATCCGAACATGACGTTATGCAAACATGCATGGAGGTGGTACCAGATATCACATAATCCTCACACACAGCCCGGACTTTAACTCGACCGAACAGAAATCGATTCTTTTAAAGTATATACTTATTATTTTGGTGATCGATTTAAATTATATTATTAACATTGGAAACGGACGTTAATAATGTATTTTAATTCTACAAGAAGGGATGATAATAGCATGTGTTATTTTTATTATTTCGGTACGTGTGAAATTCTCACTTTAATACGGAGCCCCCGAAGTCCCATAGGGTGATTTTTTTTTTAATCGTGTGGCACAAATTATTTAATTGTGCTCACAAGTTATTCTGTGCGCACAAGATAATTTACTCTGTGTTTGAGGCCGAGAGTAATATGAGAACTATGTCTGCCAAAACTATGTCTCGACGTCTAAACAAATCAAACTGGAGAGACATTTATTTACAGTCAACAAGTAACACCATGAACTCATTTT